CCATAAACAAGTTCGAAAATATCTCAGTCCTCGATTAGTTTAAACGAATAATAATCTATACCATAAAGTGTGCGTAGACTTCAATTGATTAATTCAATAAATTAATTACATATGATCATTTGATATATATATTCGGAAAAATATATAAAGAGAGAGAGAGAGAGGGAGAGAGTTTATTATCTTTTATTTCTGTCAGTATATTGAGTTTATTTCTATCTGATTACAATAAAATAATATACGACATCGTATTGATATCAGCTATAAATATGCATTATTGATACGTCCAATTTATCCCAACATTAATCAGGTAAATATACGCACACCAATAGCAATACAATTTTTATCAGACGATTGTATTTTCATTACCCGCGTCGTGGATCTAAGCTTAGCAAACTGATTCGTTCGAGAACGAACGAGCAACGATCTCGACGATTCATATCAATGTGCGAGCCGGCGACAGTGTTGACGATTAAGAATTATGTGAATCGTGTCCCCCGTTAATATTCGGGCACCGCCCCATGGAGCAGATGGTAATTTATGCCGGGAACGGAAATTTATAAGCGAGACGTCGCCTCGCGCACGATACAATTAGCTCTCGACGGGGGAGGGTGGCGAAACAGGATAAAGTAAGAATCGACTTTGTTCCATAGTTACTCATCAGGTCCGAAGAATACAAAGACGATTGTTTCGTTTAACTGATACGCATTAATCAGCAAATTTTGGCGGAACATAATTTAGGATTCCTCAATCGCGCGCGCGAGAGAATTATAATTCTATTTGATAAATTAATCAAATTTTTTAAATTAAGAAATATAGGTATTTTAGTCTTGTCGTTTATCGACTATCAAAATAAAATCGACATGTAATGCTGGAAGAGATTTGTATCATTTCAATTAAATTATTATTTTATTAGAGGAAAGCTTTAAGTTATTCCTCTCTACAGATGTTCTAACATTTTTTTAACTTTGATCAAATATTTACTTTTTAATCGTTATACATCGTTAAATGGCGAGATTTATTTTTGCGCGCGTTGCTTCTAATTTCAGTGCGACATAAGTTTTTCATAGCCCTGTATTATCAATGCAGCGCAATTTACGAGAGGCATACCCGCGATACACATGGTACAACTGATTACACGCGGCTATCATAAATCAGTCGAGTTATTATTTTACGATGAACGCAATTTTGTTGCGATCATTGGTAGTAAATTGTTACGGGCGACGCGCGAGCCTCGAGAGACGGAATGTTAATGTTTGCATAATTATGATAACTTGCGCCGTGATTCTATGTTGTTTTTCATCCTGTGAGTTATTTACGTTTTATGATGATTGACGCATAAAAAACACATACGGAGATTGAGAAGCTGTCATTACTGCAGTATCCATGCAACACCTGTTACCGTCAAAGAGAAATAGTAAATCAATTTTATTTATTACTTCCCCTATGTTCTGCAATTTTCTGGATATTATCTACTATGCCTAAAATATAATAACTAACACTTTCAGCGGTCTCCAGTTTTCGATAAGTGTTTAATATAAATTAAAAGAGAAATTTACAGTTCTCATTTATCAAAAAAGCGTATATTCGAAGAAAGAAACGTACGAGATAAATGTTGTTTATTCATGTAACTGCGCGAAGTGTATGTAACTTGATGTAAACAAAAAACATGTAGTCGTGCGAGTATTTATTATTCTCTTCTCTTCATTTCCAATCTTTCTCATCAACGAGTTCTCAAGGGAGATTTAAGCTTTCTCTGAGGCATACCTTGATGGCGATTCATTCGTCGAGGCGCGCCTGATTGATTTCATAAATCTCTCGGAATGACCTACGAGGACCCCCTCCGTAAGGCAGTCGCGCGAGGGACCCTTTAATGCCTCGCGTACGCGTCTCTTACGCAAGATTAGGCTGCATAAAATTAGGATAAGGCTGGAATGCATTCATCTCGATACTAAGCCTCCCTTTATTGTATACGATATATAACACATTATGTGTGCAGGGTGTTCCACTTCGATCAAATTAAATTTTCAATATATGACAGATTCTTTGACAATTTTGTTTCCGCTACAGAAAATTTTAACGCATTATTTTATACAATTTTTTAACATTGCAACATTTTTAAATAAAAAAATCTCGCATTACATGTAAAAAAATTCTATGAAATCAATCTATATAAAAAATAGAACAATTTATAAAAAAGATAGAAAGATGAGATTTTTTTATTATTTGCGTCTCTAAAATTTAGTTCATGAAATATCTTTTATTTTCAACTATTTATATATTTATAATATCCAATCCATTTATTATAGTTCTTTAACATTTTTATTATTTGTAAAATTTATTTAAAATTAATTTAAAAAATCTGTTACTTAAATCTAATCTGACAAAAATGGAACATACTTTGAGTGTCATCCATAAAGGAGCACCAAAGGACAAACAAGAGAGAAGGCTCAAGGAAGTATCTGGCAACAGCGGAGCAAGCATGAGGTGTGCAATTTATAATTTTCGTTAATTTATTATTCATTATTTATAAAATTAATTGTTTGCTTATTTTTACGGTAAACTCTCTTTATATCAGAATATACTTATACATATACCACATATATTAATACGTAAAAAAATGTAAATTTGCAATATAATGCAGTAGTTCAATTTTCTGCTTGATCTATTCTAAAAATTGCTTAAGAGATATATACAGAAAGAATATCCCCAAATTCGCGAAACGAAATATTGTCACCTGTCAGCGTGCATAGCTTAATCACGCACTACGCGAGGTATTATTTCTACAAATTTAACGGAAGTCAGGCTGGAAGGAAGTCGATCTGGATACGAGCTTCGTCGCTATGTAGTCGAATGGAATGTGCGTGCTATATTAATTTAACAGACAGAGCAGACGGTGAGCGAGCGGGATGGAGATTAATTTTATATATTTAATTTTAATAATTATATATTTGGCTTATTTTTTGCGTTTCTCGATACTTTATTACCTGATATAATATATAAATTTACCATTTAAATGAGGTATCTCCCCGATAAAATACTTTTAAATATAAGTTGAATAATATACTTCGACGATTCGATCTTAGATGCTTAAACGTGATTTCGTAAAACTTAGTCTTTAAATTTCTATAATTAATTACGACTAAAAATCCCGCTTATTTTTTTTATTTGCTAATAATTACCCCTGTTTACGACGCATTAGTATACTCTTCGCGTTTTAACCATGGGAATAAATCGCTTTTATCCCGCTTAAGATCTTTCGTTTGAGATGCGCATAACCAATAGCCAAGTCCCTTTTATAAGCGCCATGTAAATTCGATCCGCGCTTTATCTTAATTTCAGGTAGCGAATCGTCACGTCTGTTCGACTATCTCCATCATTTTCCGGGTCACTTACCTCGTTGTCGTTTCTTAATAGAACGAGCGTATCTCAAAGGATAGCGGTATAGCATAACAAGATATGTAGTTGACAGTAAATTCGAACTAGACGCTAATGCAGGCGAGTTAACGAGAATGAATCTGACACAGTCAACTTGATTAAAGCTCTCTTTCTCCCCGACTTTCCGACACTTTGACGTAAAATTTTCATCGATAATTAGTCATTCTACTGAGTCACCTTATATAACATGTCACTATACGTTCTTTCCAATTATATAACAAAAGCTAAGACGAAGGGTAAATAATATATTACAAGAGAATAATGAATGTATACAAAAAAATAATATATAATAAAATAAAAAAATAGAATTAAAGAAGAAATATAGTTTTTTTAATACGCTCATCCTCAATTTTCTCAATAATGTATATTAATAAACACGACGCGCGATTTTCATAGTAACCGCGTGAACGAATCTTTTTCTCGGGACATCAATGCACCTTGATAGACACGCTCGCGATATTAAATTAGATATGAAAATCGAATAAAGTTTGCAAAGTACAAACTTTACATTGAAATTCATTAATATTGATGCACATAAAATATGTAGAATCTAAATAGTTTGGGAAGAAGTGTTGAATATTGCCAATGCATTATATAATTACTGTCTCGAAGTTTTAACGAGAAAACTTAATCTTCTAATTTAGTGTTGTCCCTGACAAGGACACTGCCTGAAAGACATTGTAATATCTTTCGATCTTATGTAGAAAAATGGTTTCTTTCTGCGCTTAAAACTGGTTCCATTTGCATGCAAATTGGTTTCTTATATCACTGATTACAGCTTTGGGATAAAAATGTAAAATTTGAAATAGCAGATCCAATGTAGCTGACTGAAATATAAAAAATTGTTCATATATATTATAATATGTATAATGTAATTGATTTTATAAAATTAGAACTGTTTTGAAATTATTTACCCGAATATCATGATTGCCGCGAAAACCGATCATATGTCTCGTGATCATATGTATCACATGACGTATCGTGACGAAAATCAGAATAAACAGGTTTTCACTCGGCAATACATGTAATATTGTTCTAATGATATAGATAAGATATTGATTTTTAATTTATAAAAACACATTGACGTCTCGCATTTGCGATAGATCGAGGAATTTTTTCAGGCGAGAAATTGACACATGTAAAGCGAAAGAGATTCTCGTAATTGACGTTTCTCGCGAATTCTTCTCTCATTGCATTGAATGCATGCGTTTCTACCCACACTCATGCTCCAGATGCAGGGCATAGATTACGACGTTCCCTGCATTTCTAACATGAGTGAAGTATCGACGCGCCAAGAGAAATATCGCGATTGAGTTCGCATCTGGAGATAGATTCGCGGACTGCGATACTAATTATTAAACATTGCAATCGCTGTAAAATCAATAATTTCTGTATAATCAATTTTTTCCAACAATCTTTAGTATAGAAAATAAAAAAATATATATAATATTTTTATTTTTATATATAATTGAAAATATAACAAGAGAATTTTCACCTCAATTTTCTCAATAATGTATATTAATAAATTAACACTCGGCGTTAACTAGCTCTTTATCTTGTTATAGCATGTGACTGCCACCCGATCGGAGCTTCTGGAAAGACCTGTAACCAGAGCAGCGGCCAGTGTCCTTGTAAAGACGGTGTAACCGGTATTACTTGCAACAGATGCGCCAGGGGCTACCAGCAGAGCAGATCGCATATTGCGCCTTGCATCAGTAAGTACACGCCTACGCGCGCATTCAACATGCTTGATACCCGGGTTTCATTGCCGCATTTATCTTTTATTTCGATTTCGTTTCCGCCGGCGCTCGCTGCCCCCCCTCGGGCCACAGGCTCGTTTTATGCGAGTTGCCAAGAACGTCGGTGCAACGAGAAAGATGATACTTAGAAATAGAGAATACAAGAAATTCTGTATCTCGCGGCAAGAGATGGGGATATGCGATAAATTTAGATGAATTTTGAGAAAGTATTTAAAGAGAATATCGCAGGCGGAAGCAGATTTCTTGCGGTTACTACTTCTCCGAATTTTGAATTTTCTTACAATTTTTTATAATACGAAAAAATAAAATGAATCAAAAATAAAATGAAAAAAAGCATTACAGATTTCTCTGTCAATTTGACATATCTTGTTATTATCGATATATTCGCGTACACGCCGTAACACTAAAACGTGCAAAAGGTTGCTTGATCAGAAAGAGAACACAAAAAGTCGATTTCACGATTGATCCTTTCGGCTTGCTACCAGGGTGGCGAGAAGAAATCGACTGAAAAAAGACACTAGACCTGTTCGACCACACCCGTGCTGCCCTCGAGAATGATCGATCGATCGATCGCGAGGAACACGCGACGATCTCTTCGTGCTTGTCCAATTAGGCGAAATTTGCAAAAACGTGTATACGAAAGCACCGAACCGTGGCCCATCCTCCGTTTCCATCGTGGCGGGCTGTTTTGTAGTTTCAATCCGAGTTTTAATCAGAAATGAGGGTTTCACGAAAGATTGCATCGTTGCCATCCTCTGAATGTATTGCGATTTTGCAAATTTTTTATCACATGTAAAAAAGAACTGATATGACAAAAAGTATTAAAACTAAATTTAATTAATTTTAATACTTTTTACGCATTAATTTTACGTATTCGAGACAATCAAAGGATCAAAAATAGATATTTTTTTGTACAATTTCTCTGCACAAGAAATAATTGTCAATTTTATTAATAAAAATATTTGCAAAATTAATTCAGCCTTTTATCCAGACTTTCGCATATCTCTCATTTATCTCGTATTCTTACAGAGATACCCAGGGTCGTGCAGACGCAGGGCACGGCCGGAGAGGAGAGTGGCGAGCACGAGGACGACGACGACGAACGTGGATACGATGGACGAACCGGTAAGTAAGTGCAAAGTAAATTCAAAGGTGCGCATACACTGAACAAATGAACAACGAAGCGAGCAGCGAATCTTCAGACGTTCGTAATCGTGTTCATTGTTTACTTCGTTTCCGTTCGCTTATTGACATTCGCATTTGACCAGATTAAGCTAGATTAGATGTTCGTTGTATATCGTCTGCGAGTTTAATTAAATCTGATTGCCTAAGTGGGGCACATATCATCATATTTTGCATCTTAAATATTAATTATATTTAACTAGATTGCATATGTAAAATTGTAAGAAAAAAATTCTTTCACAGATGCGCGTTTTCCAAAATACTTTTTCTTATTATTTTTTATAAAATATGATTTCTGAGTAATAGAGATAATTGTTTTTCAAAAAGCGATACTAAAGTATGTCAAAAATTTTAACGTCTACTACACGCGTATCTTCCAAATTTTAATCGCAATATTTGTTCATTGTTTATTCGCTCAATATATGTATATACACTTTTAACACACGATAATATCGCTTGCTTGCGCTAACTATCCTTCAGCCGAACTACTTAACATTCCGAGCATTGCACTACGACGCCGCGTCGAAGTCTCCGGTGGTGACACACTGGACGACGTAAAAATGGCGAGTGGTAAGGTAAGGAGATAGGATGAATTGATGAGGGAAAGGAGAGAGGAGAGAAACAACATCTCGAGCTACGAGAGACAAGTAATGTTAGCATAGGTCGGTATTCTGATGTCACGTATTCCGCACTAAATGTCCCCGTCCGATTCTGAGTTACATTTGTCTTGTACGAAGATTCAATATGAACGCGAGACGAGAGTTAAACAGCTGCATACACTTAGTTCTTATAAGTGTGAGATGAGTACTAACGTGTAATAATTCCAAGTAATTTCACAATATCGCAAGGCCTTTTTTACATGGAGATAGCATTATCGAAATATCGAAGAAAATATATATTATATCGAGATAATAGATTATCTCATATCATAAAGGAAAAAGCGGTATATCGAGAAATATATATATTTATATAATAATAATTAATAATTTTGAAATTAGTTTGCACAAATTTTTCAAGATAAATACGAAGAAAAGAAGTTTATCTTGTGTGATATCTATCTGCACGTAATCGAGCTCATTTATATAATCCGCGAGAAACTTTTCATTTTTCTCAGCACCTTATAATTCATAAATTATTAAAGTTTCAATTATAATGATATGTGCACTGAAAAAAAAGAATTGTCAACTTGACTAAAACCGTTCAACTAATTACCATTTTTTTAATTGAGATATTTATATATTTAAGTCAAATATACGTCATGTTAGATTTAATATGTCTTATTTGACTTAAATATATAAATATTTCAATTAAAAAAATGGTAATTAGTTGAACGGATTTAGTCAAATTAACAATTTTTTTTTTTCAGTGTGTGCTCGCTTTTCGCTAATTCTAGAACATTTTGTATATTCGAAACTTTCGCGAGCTAACTAGTTTACATATCGAGGCGGAATTATCACGGCCGAGTACGACTGTGCTCGCTCGCGTTTTTCGCTATCGCGACGGTCGCGTTCGTGCTTCTTTACGAGATGCATAGAGAAATTTCGCCGCCTACGCGGCGCGCATAATTCGCGCGCGTAGATTACATAGCGACCACCACCTACTCTGTTCGCGTCGGAGTGAGATATTGACGCGCGGGAAGGAGAGTAGTATCGTAATCGAATTTACACCTGGTGAGTGTCGCGCCGAGCGGCGCTGTCGCCGTAAATTCTTGCGGGGAAACTGCCGTGGGTACGGCCTGCGTAAATTATCCGTTGTAATAGGCCTCCTGGAAATACTCCTCTCGCAGCCTATCGTCCTCTTCCACCCGCGAAATCGCGATTCCGGCCTCCTCACTTCGATAACGCTGCGAATCGACGCAAATTTTGCATATCGAATGTCTCAAGGATAGATAATGGACGCCGCGTTAAGATAACGATGAAAAAACTTGAACGTTAATTTTTGACATCAGAAATTATTTTTTTACTAATGCATTTTTTGAACTATTTTATTCTTCAAATTAATTTCAAATACGCGAAGATATTTTTATTTGCATGGAAAAAAAATAAGAAAGATATCGCGGAGTTTCGAATTAAATTATTGCTGAGAAGAAATAAAACTTGACTTCATCGAGTATTCTCGAGGGTTAAGAGAACATGTGATACGTCTGTGATATGTCGTGTAACGAGCTCATTTCAGATTAAATCTTCGTTGGTTGGCGGAGTGTCAAAAATACCGAACCGCTGACAATTGATTTACGCACATATAGTTTTAGATCGCAAAGGAACAGGCGATCAAGATTAAGTCAATCTTAATTTTCGAAATTTTATTAGAACGAAGTCACACACATGCTTGAAATTTTCATGCTCGCTCATCGCGTGCAGGTTTCAGACTTCATTACCGGTTTTACTCTCACGGGCATCTTCCCTCGTTACTTCGCACGACGGTAAAGCGAAGCGGACTTACCTCTTTATTTTTCAATTTCCGCCACTTTAACTTCGCAATTCTGACGCAGTTGATCTACAGCGAGTCTGTATTGCGATATAACGACTTTGCATTATGTTATCGTACTCGACGAGTCAGCGATGAATATAAATAAAAAAAAAAAAAGATGAGGGGATATCGGAAAACATCAGAACTTGTCCGTAAAGCTCTCACTTGATATCCGAGAAAACAGCATTGCAATGATTATACATTATGTATATGTACGGTCGTATATTCAAGTGCACTTTAAAGCACAGTACAAGCCGACAAACATCATCAACGAATATTATTCAAAGGGAATTCGCGTATATTTTGATTGCGAATAACTTGGGATGCATCTCAAGCACGGTCGATCGACGATATTTCATGTTTACATTTCGGAGAACAGCCAATTCCAAATATGAATATCGTTACGTGAAGATATTACGCGAATATATTATCTTTATGGATATTTACACTTGTTAGAGTGAATCACAAATTCATTAAATTTCAAGATAAATAGACAATAATTTTCTGAAATAAAGATAGAGAATATGCTCTATTTCCGAGAAGTGAAAGGCTACATTGTACTTTTTGCAAAACAGTCGGAGAAAAGCTTATATAAATGAAGAAAAAAAAAATCGAAATAACCGGCTTAAACCGTAAGTGTGTTATAGGCTTAACGTGTCTACGTATTATTACAATGTAAGGCGAGCCTCTCGCATCGTCGAGAGGATCCACTTGACGCGATCCGCCCACGTGGCGCAAAATCGTTGCGAACCGGGGCGCGACGGTCGGTTTCTCGGATATATGTCGGCTCGGAACTCGTTACCGGGACTCGATCTCTCGCGCGCGCGGATCTTCCGCCGCCGCGAGGATGTATCCGCGACTCTCTCATGTCCGCCCTCGCCGTTATTCATAAGCAGCGCGGTAATTACGACGAACTGTGGTAGCCCTCGGCTACCTTACCCCCGTGTTCCTCGCCCGGGAAACGTTCCTCCACCCACCCACCCTCCCTCCCGGATGTCCCGCGTGTATCATATCGCGTATGTAACGTAAGCGCGCATATCCGGCGTATGCATTCCGCGTCACGGATCGCATCTATATGTTAATGCAACCGGGCGCGGGCCGTAATTCTCGCGTCGCACCCACGCGTGCATCGCGCGCCTCGGGAGTCTCGCGAAAAGCGTGCGAGTCGCGGCTTCTATTCCGTACGAGACCCATAGACGAGAGGCGACTACGAGACTGATACGAATAACAAGTTGTTCAGCTGTCCGTTGTACAGACGACCAAAGATTTTAGATAATTTTGAAATTAGTTTGCACAAATTTTTCAAGATAAATACGAAGAAAAGAAGTTTATCTTGTGTGATATCTATCTGCACGTAATCGAGAGAATTATTATGAATAATTATTGACTCGCGAGCTTATTATACTCTCTCTTTAAACTATCTTCTATTAATAATACTCTTCAAATATGTAATATCCGTTTTCGATGCGTTTACGTTTGTATCATTTTCACGATATTATGGGTTAAATATTTCCAAGAAAATGTAGGGAGAAATTAAAAAATAAATAGAGACTTAATAAAATATTTTTACAATATTTTATCCTCTCTAGACTATAAAGTATCAAGAAAAAAATTTTATTTATAAAGAAATTTTACTACGAAGATAAATGACCAATAATTGTATAATTAAACGAATAATAAATTAACAAAATTATAAATTGCTAACCTCATGGTTGTCCCGCCGTTGTCCGACATCTCCGGACCTCCTCTTCTTCTCTTGTTTATCCTTTGCTGCTCCTTCATGGCATTCACTCGCGAAAACACACTTAATTACGATAACGTGCGCGCTAATCATTAAAATATGATAATGGCGCGGCACTTTGTAAAATTCTCCCGACATTAATCGTACACGACGTGCACGTATTTTATATTGCGACGAAAAAACGCGAAAATCACATTACACGGAGTTACGATATGCTCAACATTGAAAATACGTGCCGCCAAATTCACGCTATGTTATCTTTAACGTACGCATATATATTATGGAATGATATACGCATATATTTTACACACGCTTAATTAAAAGGCGATAATCGCAGGAATTGATTAATTGCGCAGATGGATAATTGTTAATTGTAATAACTATAAAGTACAATTGCGTTTGATATTTCTTAGTATTTATCGCGATCGTACTTTTTTGAGTATCAACAATACGGGTCTATTTATATACCGCCGAATTCTTGTGACGTATCGTATTATTTATGTATGCGCGATTACTTTGTTGTCTTAATCAACGTAAGTCATCTTCGATAAACCATGCAGAAATATATTACTTTTGATATAAAAAAACTTGAGATATATATAATTGTGTTAATATCTTTTTAAATAATTAATAATCTTTTTAAATATAGATAATTACATAATAATTAGATGTGAATATAATGACACTATTGTTTATGTTGTTTGTAAATATTTTTGTTGTCGCACAACTAGAT